AACTAATTTCTGCCAAGATAAGGTTTTCTAGTACAAGTGTACTTTTTTCTGTGATGAGATAAGACAACCAGAGCATTCAGTTGTAGACTTTCTTTTTCTGACTTCCTTTACGTAGGCTACCTGGAATTCCTGAGGGGGTGGTTGGGCGAAGGTCCGCTTTGTGCCGAGGTGGATGTCCCAAGTATTCCCTGCAGCTGGAGAGCTGCAGTACCTTTGGAAGACCTGGCTGGATTTCCCATTCTGGATGTGCTTTGCATGGCCACTGGCCTCTGCAGAACACTAAGAGTCTTCTGCCCAGTACTGGGAATATTGTAGAGTGGCTTTGATCTAGGCAGGCAGGGTTTCTTCCAAGTATTTAGCTTGGTAGTAAAAACGCTCATGCTTATGGTATTTTCCTGTTCTGCACAGGCTTGATTTAATGATGTTTGTAAACTACCTGAAGACCTGCAGATGAAAGATGTCCCTTTTTTTTATTAGAAAGACTACCTTGCGTGGTGTTCAGACATAATAGGGAGCTGTAAAGTACTTTGGGCCTCTAAGATAAAAAAGCACTGCAAATCCTGAATGGGATATTAACAATATCCAGTGTAACTAATGATAAGTTTAACTGCTAGGCAGCTGTTGGGCTACAACAGTTATCTATCTTATTAATGCAAAACCCCATTTGTTTTCTAGCACAGGCTCACACTCATACCTCTGTCGATTGACGGAGAAAAGGAGTGCATGAGTAGGTAGTCATCATGGTTACTCTAGCCTGAAGAGGGGTCTCCAACTGGAATTTGGGGAAGGACTTGTCTGCTAGCCAGTCTGACACACCTGCCGAATGTTGTTTACCATTTACCGGAGCGGGTGTACCAAGGTCCCTGTTTCCCCCTGTGTTCTAGTCATCGAGGCTTATGTTTGCAAAGCCTCATCAGCTAGAGCAGGCTGTCTTGGGGAACTGAAGATTTAATTATTATGTTAACAATCTGTAAAGTACTAAAGAAAAAAAAATCACTGAATTAATTTCCTTTTTGTTACAGTAGGCTCCTGCCTTAAAAGAAACACAATATTCTCCTTGTCCTGTGGCTTTAGTTAGATTTTGCATGTCTTACACAGTTTTTTGTTTTTTTTTTCTGGCATGCAGCATTTCCTAATTTACACCAGGGTAAGGAAATCAGAATAAGGTTGGCAGAATCTCTGCACAACCATCAACAGGTAACCTTTTTTTGACCCTCCATACCTCTGGAAATCCTTTTATTTTTGTAACTAGGGCTAGGTAGCAGGATGAAGATTACATGTAATCCTACAAAGCAACGCTTTTATTTTGGTCTTGTTATTTTGGGAATAATCAGCAGAGAACAACAATACTTGCTCTTACGGTTTTCATGTGCTTCTCCGAGGAGACTGATGGCACAGGGGGGCTCTTGCAGAATACACGTTTTCCACAGCAATGGTTTAGGTAAATCTTATCTACCCTTGAATCGACAATACAGGTTCCATTGACTTCTGTGGAGCCTGAATTTCATTGTATGTCTTGTTCAGTTTATGTACCGTTTTCTAAGGCAGGCCTTTTCATTCTGTATGTATTGAGGATTTGAGCTGTGGAGGTTGGTGCCTATAGCTGCCGAGTCCGATTCCTGCCTTGGCATGTCAGCTGAAGCAGGGGCTGTTGCAGGTATAAGACCTGGGGGTGGGGGGGGCTTCAGTGGTCTCCAAAAACTGGCATGTTGACTACGTGTGGGGGAGTTGTGAAGATGGCTAATTGTTGGAGAGGGTATGGTTTGTGTCCCAGCTTTGCCAGCAGAGGATTACATTTTATGCAATTGCTGCAATTTAATTATAGTGTAGGAGAGGTTTTGATATCTGCCTTTAAATTATCCCAAGGGCATTTAGGAGGAATGGCTTACTTTGAATAAATCTTAATAAACATATGACTTTATGCTGCTGGCTTGTTTTGTTCTGTGAGCGCCATTTGTTCTTATTAGCTATATCATAGAAACCAATACAGCTATTCCTGGAAATATGGCAATATCACATGAGTATGAATTTATAGGATGGGCTCAGTATGTCATTACAACAATTGTCAGCTTCTCTCTTTTATTTATGGAAGAGCGATGCATACGAATGTACCTTTATCTGGAAAGTTTTAGGCAATTCTAATAAAAGGAGATATGCATGAATTATCAGTACATGATGTTCTATTCACTAGAGGGAGAGTCATTTTAAAAAGCCTGTGAAGTGAGGCATGGTTGCTAAGTAAGGCGAGGGTTTTATTAGACCAACTGACGTAATGGGGAAAAAAAAAAAGCAGGCAAGATTTTGGGCATACGAAGACCTCCTTTGGATGTGAAACAAACGGCAGACTTTGCGCTAAGAATGGCTTGGGAACAATTGCTGTGAACTTAAGCTAAATATGTTAAATGGTGAGGTAATCTGAGAGGAAGGGGTAGCTGGGACACGTGGGAAGTAATGGAGATGAGATGGGAATGTGGAGGAAGGGTGGCTTCTGGAGGAATTTAAGGCAATCTGAAACTACACTGCTACTGCCTTCTGTCTTGCTTCGTGGTGTTGGTAGCTGTAGTTAGGGCAAGCTCAAGCAAGGGGAAATAAGGAGCAATGTAGAAAATGGACTCTGTGGTGGAGGAGGAAGAACGTGTGGCAGTGTGGGAGGGATGTATGCTAGAAGTGGGGTTGCGGATGATGGAGATGAGCAGTTCCTCCAAAGCCTGGGAGAAACCGGCATTCTAGTTCAGGGAACTAATTTCTGCCAAGATAAGGTTTTCTAGTACAAGTGTACTTTTTTCTGTGATGAGATAAGACAACCAGAGCATTCAGTTGTAGACTTTCTTTTTCTGACTTCCTTTACGTAGGCTACCTGGAATTCCTGAGGGGGTGGTTGGGCGAAGGTCCGCTTTGTGCCGAGGTGGATGTCCCAAGTATTCCCTGCAGCTGGAGAGCTGCAGTACCTTTGGAAGACCTGGCTGGATTTCCCATTCTGGATGTGCTTTGCATGGCCACTGGCCTCTGCAGAACACTAAGAGTCTTCTGCCCAGTACTGGGAATATTGTAGAGTGGCTTTGATCTAGGCAGGCAGGGTTTCTTCCAAGTATTTAGCTTGGTAGTAAAAACGCTCATGCTTATGGTATTTTCCTGTTCTGCACAGGCTTGATTTAATGATGTTTGTAAACTACCTGAAGACCTGCAGATGAAAGATGTCCCTTTTTTTTATTAGAAAGACTACCTTGCGTGGTGTTCAGACATAATAGGGAGCTGTAAAGTACTTTGGGCCTCTAAGATAAAAAAGCACTGCAAATCCTGAATGGGATATTAACAATATCCAGTGTAACTAATGATAAGTTTAACTGCTAGGCAGCTGTTGGGCTACAACAGTTATCTATCTTATTAATGCAAAACCCCATTTGTTTTCTAGCACAGGCTCACACTCATACCTCTGTCGATTGACGGAGAAAAGGAGTGCATGAGTAGGTAGTCATCATGGTTACTCTAGCCTGAAGAGGGGTCTCCAACTGGAATTTGGGGAAGGACTTGTCTGCTAGCCAGTCTGACACACCTGCCGAATGTTGTTTACCATTTACCGGAGCGGGTGTACCAAGGTCCCTGTTTCCCCCTGTGTTCTAGTCATCGAGGCTTATGTTTGCAAAGCCTCATCAGCTAGAGCAGGCTGTCTTGGGGAACTGAAGATTTAATTATTATGTTAACAATCTGTAAAGTACTAAAGAAAAAAAAATCACTGAATTAATTTCCTTTTTGTTACAGTAGGCTCCTGCCTTAAAAGAAACACAATATTCTCCTTGTCCTGTGGCTTTAGTTAGATTTTGCATGTCTTACACAGTTTTTTGTTTTTTTTTTCTGGCATGCAGCATTTCCTAATTTACACCAGGGTAAGGAAATCAGAATAAGGTTGGCAGAATCTCTGCACAACCATCAACAGGTAACCTTTTTTTGACCCTCCATACCTCTGGAAATCCTTTTATTTTTGTAACTAGGGCTAGGTAGCAGGATGAAGATTACATGTAATCCTACAAAGCAACGCTTTTATTTTGGTCTTGTTATTTTGGGAATAATCAGCAGAGAACAACAATACTTGCTCTTACGGTTTTCATGTGCTTCTCCGAGGAGACTGATGGCACAGGGGGGCTCTTGCAGAATACACGTTTTCCACAGCAATGGTTTAGGTAACTCTTATCAACCCTTGAATCGACAATACAGGTTCCATTGACTTCTGTGGAGCCTGAATTTCATTGTATGTCTTGTTCAGTTTATGTACCGTTTTCTAAGGCAGGCCTTTTCATTCTGTATGTATTGAGGATTTGAGCTGTGGAGGTTGGTGCCTATAGCTGCCGAGTCCGATTCCTGCCTTGGCATGTCAGCTGAAGCAGGGGCTGTTGCAGGTATAAGACCTGGGGGTGGGGGGGGCTTCAGTGGTCTCCATGTAGGAAGAGCCTCTCGGGCTCCCTTGCCTCCATCATCTGCTCCTCAGCTTGCCAGGTGCGATCCTTTGTCAGGCAGTGCCTCCTCCAAAAGGGTTACTGTAGGCTGGGTTATCCAGAGGCAGCAAAAAGTGTCTGCCAAGTAGTCAGTCAAATCCTGCCGCAAAAATTTAGCTCTCATTTTCAGGGAAGACAGTACAATCGCATTTTGCTAGCTGGCCCTTTCATGTTAAAAAAAAAAAAAAAAGCCATCAGGGATGTGTTTGTGCTCGTGACTTGTGCAACCGGTACCTTAATGAAATCTCGGTGCCATTAACACCTGTGGACCGTTTGCTCTTCTGAAATCATTGGATCATGATTTGTCAGGTGTTTATGGATACTGCATTTTTGCAAGAGATCTGCTTGATCAGTTCAAGGTGGAAAAAAGTCATAGAAGTACTGTATTTTTAGTTAGGAATATAAAAATCTGTTTATTAACTTTATATATGGAGTAAAGTTATGTATATTTCTCTAGACTTCTAAATTTTGTGCTAGAAATAATACAGTATATTTTGTCTTTCCCTCAAGGCCAAATGTCTGTCCGGTGTTTGAGTTGGCACTGGTAGGACACCAGCAGCCATGCGTTCAAGCCTTTAGTCGGATGGTCAAGATGTGGAAACAAGGTTGCCCAGGGAAGAGGTGGTGTATGGGCTATGAGAGAAGGTAATATATTATCTATCATTATAAATTAATTCTGTTACTGAACATAGTGCAAACTCTTCATAATTTTTTTTGCAAGAGAGAAGTTGTAAACTATTTAATCAGAAATATGTTACTTAGTAATGGAGATACTGTGTGCTGCTGAGACTTTACTTTAGGTCTGTTATTACTGAGTGGAAAACGCGACTTTTCTGTGTTTTGGGTGTGTCATGAACTTCTTGGCTGGCTTTAGATCACAGTTTTATATTATCAGAAAATGCTCCTGTCTCATCCTGTTTCAGGTGAAGTCCAGCTGTCAAGTCATCTACTTTGAAAAATTGAACTTCTTTCTATTTCTGTCATATGCTGAGAACTGATGGGAGATCTGGCTCCCCCAACAGCTAAAACCAAAATTGACTGCAAAACAAAATCACTCACCTTTGACTAGCCTGAATACAAATTCATCAGAGAATATGTGGCCATAGTATATTAGAGCTACTGGATCTTATCAGGATGCATTTTGCTATATTTGCTTCATTTGAGAACAAGAAGTACTGATAGGGGCTGAAAAAATCTATAATAAATATGACGTACGAGTACAGTTAGTTACTGACAAGATGTGAATAAGTGGAATAGAAGTTGTGATTGTTCTTTTAAACTTGTTCTCTTCAAAGGTCTGGGTACTACACAATTTACAAGCAGGTGTACAGAATGGAGCGCCAGACTGTCTATAAGTGCTGCCCTGGATGGGTCCAACGTGACGATGAACCTGGCTGTTTGCATTGTAAGTTGATGGCAAAGCAGTGACAAACCAAGAGAGATGATACCCTTAGGCCTTACTTTCCTACTGATGCTTACTTCTAGAAAGATGGATTTTGTTTCCTGCTATTTATAAGTGGGATTTCCAGTTATAAAGAGGTAATCTATTGATGGGGAAAGAAACTTTTAAAAATACCAAAGCTGTCATATCTATAAGTACCAAGTATCTCTAATTTTAATCTAAACAGTGGAAACTGAATTTCTGATTATACTTGTTGCAGCATTTTTGTGCCAGCCTGGCTTTGACAGGCCAACCAAATTTATTGCTGTTACCCAAATTATGCAAAGAAATCTGCTGTCAGGCACTTGTTTCTTGGCCGTAGCACTCCTTGTGGCGTCTGGCTGGCTTTGGCTTTTTCACTGCTGCTGTTGCCATTGAAGCAATTGTGTTTCCACCCTACGGTTCTCCACCTGATGAGAACTTTTTCCTATCAGTAATTTCTAATCATGATTGCATGTTTTCCTCAAAGATGGAATTTAATTTAAATGATAAGGAAGCACTTATCCACTGTTAACAAGACATGAGTAGAAGATAGCAATTTATTCACTGTTTAGGTTTTTTTACTGTTTTGTCAGTAATTGTATTTTCTGTATGAAAGTTAGCATCTGTTCCTATGTATTTTTTTAATCTTCATACCAACTTGAGGGCTGCATTCAGAGAGCTTGCCTTTATGATTGTCTTTTTGCATTTAAAAAACAAAAACAAGCCTGAGAGGTATTCCTGGTAGTTTCAGCTTGAATCTACATATTTAGTGTGCACCTGTTTTGTTGCAAGAAGTCAGATATGTTTGCAATCTGTATCTTAATCTTTGGTGTACAGGAATTTAATGTACTTGAGCACCAGTGGCAATATAAAATTATTTTCTTCCTGAAAGAGCAGTGCAGACTTGCTTTGAATTCTTTAGGGCATGGAAGTGTTTGAATTATTCTTCTATATTTGATACTCTTTGCAAGTTTGGCTGAAGTGTGTGGAATTTAACTTACTGTAAATAAATAACGTTGTGCACTGGAGGAAGGGTAGTATTGTGATTCCCTTGGACATATATAACATCTTTTAGTACACCAGTGTTTCTTAATCATTGCTGAATTATTCTCTAGCAGTTCATCTCTTCTTTCATTCTGGATTCAGGTAGTGCTTTGAGTCCTGAGAAACTGTCTTCTGCCTCTGAAGCATCTTCAGGTTAAACTGCATTATCTTAGTCTGATTTTTATTCAAGTTAAATTTCTTCATATCAACATGGTAACTATACCCATGATAACAAGTTCTATTGCAGTCTAACCTTTCCGCGTAAATAAAAAGCCAGATTTCTTATTTGGAAGTTCCTGTTATAGCAGGACTATGTTAGGAAGAGGCAATTCTTGGAGTATCCTTGGCACAAAACTAACAAAACCCCCCTGTTTCATTCTGTTTGCATACTAGCGCTGTGCACTGTTGGCACTTGCTTCAATGGAGGGAAATGTTCTGAAGCAGGATCCCAGATGTGCCAGTGTCCCGCGGGATTTCAGGGTCCTCGCTGCCAGTATGGTGAGTCAAATGTAAATTGTTTCAAATACATTTTGCCCAAGCACGAGATGCATTTTTATCAATATTTGTTAAAACATGAATAATTTATTAATGTTGACTTAAAATTAAAGTTGCCTCTGCTGGACTCTGACTGGTTGCTTGGTCATTCTGTTATTTTCCATAATTTGCCTTTTTTGGTATTGAATTTTAACAAAGTAAGATGAACAACTAATTTGGTTGATATCAGATGAGTTTCTGTAATGGATAATACCATTGAGTATCAGCAGTGGTCTTCAGTGGAATATGTTTCTATTGCTTCTGAACCTGCATGGTCTTGTGGCACTCTTGCTAAGTTTCTCAGCATTGCTTTTACCCTTGGGAGGGTAAATTCTGAGTCAAAACAGGTTGGGCAGTAGGTAAAGGATGTAGCAAATGAACCAAATGTATTTATTCATGGGACTTCTTTTGGTGCATCTGAAAGTAGGAAGGCTGGTTTTACAGATTGTTACTAAGTATTTCCTAGTATTCTTGAGGCAATTTATGCACTGATCTTTCATTTCAATAACTGTTCTAGCATATTATAGACTGAATTCTGTGCGACTTAGACTATCACCCATTCTCAATGGAAATCTTTCTCTCATACGCTCCTTCACAATCTGATAAACCCACAATGGGTTGTCTTGTAATTTATGTGAAATAAGACCATCACATACTGTGTGAAACTCTCCAGAATTATAGAACTGCATCCATTTGGCCTC